TTATGAGTTTAATTATATTACTGCTCAATATATATATTGAAATTTTTATAGTAATTGATAATTTTAGGTATTTTTATGGGGTAATCTTTTAAGGAAGTAACACTTCAAAGCAAACTAACCTTCAAAATGATATGGTAATAAAAAAGAATGTGAAATACTTGATATGACTATTTTCATTTCAAAACACCCCAAAACAAAACTGTCATGATTTTATCTCTTAGCCATTATAAACAAATTTTTATTATTCTCTAAATCCTGTACCAGAAAATATTATTGATTTCATAATTTACTATTTCATCAAATATTGTTAGACATCACAGACCCTTTTAGTGGCAAATAGTGATGACTAGGGATACTTATTTCCTATTTGTCTATTATTTCTAGAATAACTCATTTTCTTGGAAATTTATGCTTCTGTTTCATTTTTACTGTATTATGTAAATAACAAAATGGTCAAATCACATCTAATTGTTTGCTTGGCATTTAGTTAATATTGTGATATGCAAGAAATAATGTGGAAAAAAAAGATGATTCAATTTCCAATGTAGAAGATAGTATGGAATATGATAAATTTATAGACTTGAAAACATGCCTGAAATTGGCAGACTTTGCTAATCATAACTGCCTTTTTCATTTGGAAGAATGGCAGAGCACAAGGGAAAGTGCTATGTTCCTGAGAGCTGTCCATGCATCTGGAAAGACTGGGAGTACCTCTCCGGAGAGGCCATTTCTACACCGTGTTACACGTGGTAACGAGACCCATCCATTCCATAGTCTTCCCCAGCAATTGTGTTATGAAATTTCTTTGTTGACTTTACTTGATATATATGATTAAGAAAAACAAATCAAGCTTGAGTATATCTGGTGTGAAAGGGATCCAGGAGTTATAGAACTACTATCTGTAGGGGACTCTACCTTTTTAATGCATATTTGTTTATCCTAGAAGAAAAGTATGAAATAGGACAGTTTGGCAATTTAATAGTAAAAATTACAAAATTATAAGCAAATGTTCTGTATTTCAAAAGGAAGACCTTACATTCTTAAAATTTTTAAATTTATTTTTATTTTATGTGTATGAGTGTACTGCCTGCATGTATGTAAGGGCACCTGTGTTGTGCAATGCCTGTGGAGGCCAGAAGAGCTGCAGCAGATCCCCTGTAACTGGAGTCACAGACAGTTGTTAGCTGTCGTGTCAGTGCTGGGAACCAAACTCAGGTCCTCTGCAAGAGCCACCAGTCCTCTTAACTGCTGAGCCATCTTTCCAGCACTGAGAACACCACATTTAATGGAAGATTTATTGTCTGGAAGTAAAAATTGTACCATAAAGTAAAATTTATGGTATAATTTCCTTAAAATGTTCATAAATATTTTAAAGTCTTGTGGAAGGTTTTTTGATTGACTTAAATGAAGGAGATAGATTGTGCTCTTCTGGCTGCTAGTAGATCTATGTCCAGTTTTCATTTGATCATCTATTTTCTGTGATGCAGGCTTGATTTTGGTGTCTGATACTATCAGTGAAGTGGTAAACAGTTTGTCAATATTAGTAGGCATTATCAGAATGAATTGGCAGTATCTCTAAGGATTATTAATTCAGTGAATGCTTATGAGTACAAATGTTTATGTCATTTGAAAAATGCTATTTAGAACTAAGTTCTCCATAAGGCAACTCATGTTATTTTTTTAATAGTGTTTGTCGACGGGGGATGTTCAATTGCACGTATTATCCATGCCCTGCAGTGTGCACAGTATATGGGGACCGGCATTATCATTCTTTTGATGGGTTGGAATATGACTACATCAGTGATTGCCAAGTTTTTTTGATAAAGGTTGGTCACAGTTACTCACTTTTTTATTTGAACTTGCATACAGGCAACATGAAAAACGAAACAAAATGTTGGTCTGTGGCACATCACATTCATATATCATTAGTTAAACTTAGGAAAGGCATGGTCATTTCAAATTAATTTCTTCAGTTTCAGACTCATCTTAAGTTTCATTGTATGTAGAAGGCAAACTTATTCTTTAGCTTTATGTGCCTTTTCCCTCATCTATGAAATGAACATAATGCCTGCACAGAAGTCCACAGGTAGTTCTGAAGCTCAGTTAGATAAATATATTTAAAATACGAAGGTAGTGCTTGATTATACAGAAACTGCTCAATGCGTATCAACTATTGTGTTAGTTTAGTTTGATGAATATGCATGTGACATATTAAACTATACATTTGATTACTTATTCTTATGATTATAACAAAGATTAGTCTCAATTCTAGAAATGCTGTTTTGATGATATGTCTTGACAAATTCCAGAATTTATATATCTGAGAAGTGAGAAAACTTTAAAATTTTGCATATATGTCTAATGTATTTGGAATATTATTTAGTTACTACTAATCTCATAATTAAATTTCTAAATGAAACACATAAGCTTTCCAATGGAGTCACACAAGAGCAACCAAAATGAAAGCCTTTTCTCCAACTAGTAGACATGATGAATGCATTGTTCTGGGTACAGCTGTTTTGCCATTTGATGTTTCATGTGATCCTGTTCTATAAGCCTATGTCAAGAAAGTGGAATATCATCTTCATTATGAAAATTTCTACAAAATAAGAAGTAAATTAAAAAGTCTACTTTAGCAAAGATTTCGCTTACATGTTAAGCGACTGAACGTCTCTGTTGGTGGTTGCTCTGTAAGTACCATAATAAGTACAATCATAAGTACCATTAATAAAGGAGGCTGTTCTTAGGGAATGATTTTAAGTTTCTTATAGACAAAATACATGGTGATTGATTTGGTATCTTATAATTATGGAGGATGGCAAATCTACTTTATATTTTTGGGTATGTGTATATTGGTTTGACTTTTGCAGAATAAGGAAAGGTACAGTAACAAATGTACATTCTATGAGTGCAATTACTTGTTTTCTCCAACTTGTTTGATTTGACTTGTTCTTATGCCCTATTGTTCTTAATAGTTAACATGCAAAAATTGAGATATTTCTATTCTTATTTTATATATGTGCAATTGAATTGTATATAATTTTCATTAGTATAATATATTATAGTTATTTTAGGTTTCTCTTAGAGATATAGTTATGATTGAACTAGAAAGCTGTAAATTCATTTATTTGAAGTTTTCTACAGTCTCCACTAGTTTCTACTACTGGTGGAGGCAAAATGTTTAAACTCGTGTGTTTCTAGTTGTAGAAGCCAATGTTTGTGATAAATGCATATACCCTCTTTCAACATGAAGTATACATAACAGTACTCATAAAACTCTGTGCATGCATATCACCTGGGGATGCTGTTAAAGTATGGATTCTCTTTCCAAATAGGCTGCAGTAGGGTCTTAAGTGTGACTATTTATTTATTTATTTATTTATTTGTTTTTATTCTTTGATTTATTATTTATTAATTTTTATGGAGTTTTTGGCTACTTTAACATTCCCCCCTCTGAAGAGGTATTCCTAAAATCTTTCAAGGATTAGATACAAGCTCCCTAAATACTTTCGACGTTTTTGGCCTTTGGAACAGAGAGTATGTTGCTGAGAGGCCCAAGGACGTTTTGACTTTTAGCCACAAAACTGGCTACTTTTCTTTGGGGTTTTTCACCCTAACTGCCTAGCCAGTTCCTACCTCCTATTCTTATCACACCATCCTCTGAAGAGGTTACCCAAATTGCCAAAAGGGAATCAGGACACAGACTGCTCTGGTTTCTTCCATGCTGAACAGGCATGGAGGATGAGGCAATTTTAGTACCCCTTCAGTGGGTCTATCTAAAAGACTCCCAAACTACATAACTCTTACCTCTAGGGGGATAAGAAAGTCCTTGAATCGTGACTAGGAGATGTGAGGGAGAAGTAAAGGCAAAAGTAATTAGCATTATAAATTTTAGACAGGGAACTAGAAAAAAGTCAGAACATGGCAATTTTCAAATGTTCATATGAGAGTCCAATGGAATTTCTTTACAAGGGCTTCAAAAAGCATCCCTCTATTGGGTTCCTCCTCATTTTTCTTTTGTCTGCTAAGGCTGGACACTAGAATGATGGATACAGGATTTGCTTTCAGGTATTTTGATAGCTGTTGGAGTGGTTAGAATCAGCATCAGTTCCCTCTCAAAGTCTTTGAGATAACTGAGGGGTTGCTGAGGTGCATGTATGATCTGAGGGTATGCACACTGGAAAGCCTTTACCCAGCATGGGTCTTGACTTCTCTTCCTAGCCTTCTCCAGATTGTATACTTTAGCCCTCCCCAGATCAAGGAGGCCATGTGTGATTAGGGCCAAATTACATACAGTTGGCTGGGAAGAGTGGCTGGATAATCTGGTGAGTGTCCAATGACCCTGCTTGGCCCTCTTTTAATGAATGAGCACAACCACCAACAAGTCCAATTGTCACAATGTTTAGCAATCAGGGTCAGCTGAAGCCGTGATGATGGTAATTATTTCATGCAGAAGGGACTGCTATATAGCATCATCTTGTTAAAAGGACTTGGAATTTAAAAGGATTTGGTGCTAGGATCCATATATGAGGGAGAACATATGTTGTTTGTTTTACTGAGTCTGTGTTACTTCACTCAGTATAACAGTTTCTAGATCCATCCATTTACCTGCAAATTTCATTATTTCATCTTTCTTTACTGCTGAATAGAACTCAATTGTGTAAGTATACCACATTTTTGTTAACCACTCATCAGTTGAGGGGCACTTAGGTTGCTTCCATCTCTTAGCTATTTTGAAAAGAACAGCAACAAACATGGTTGTACAAATGTCTCTATAATAGGATGAGTCCTCTTGATATATGCCAAGGAGTGGTATAACCGGGTCATAAGATAGGCTCATTTTTAGTTTTTTAAGAGTTCGCCACACTGTTTTCCATAGAGCTTGCACGAGTTTGCAATCCCACCAACAGTGAATGATCTTTCCCCTTTCTCCAAATCCTTGCTAGCATATGCTATCATTTGTTCTTTAGATCCTAGCCAGCCTGATTGGGGTAAGGTGATACCTTAGGGTGGTTTTGATTTGCATTTCCCTAATTACTAACGATGTTGAATACTTTTTGAGCTGTTTCTTAGCCATCTTTATTTCTTCCTTTGAGAACTCTGTTTAGATCTTTAGCTCATCTTTTAATTGGGTCATTTGGTTTCTTGCTTCTTAGTTTTTTGAATGCAACCCCTGCTTGTTTCTTAATGCCATTTGCTTGGAATATTCTTTTCCATCCTTTTACCTTAAGTTAGTGCCTGTCCTTGAAGGTGAGATGAGTTTCTTGCAGACAGCAAAGAGATGGATTTTTGTTTCTTAATCCATTTGCTAAGCCCGTGTCATTTGCTTTTGACTGGGGAGTTCAGTCCATTGATATTTAAGGTTATTATTGAAAGATGTGTATTGGTTGCCATCATTTTGATTGTTGTTTGTGTTCTTTGTCTAATTTTATGTTTCCTCAATTATACCTTTATTTATTTTTCTTTCATTGCCCCTGGAGTATAATTGTACCTTTCTCCTCTCTTTGTATTGCTTCAAGTATTCTTTGAAGGGCTGGTTCTGTGGATGTGTATTCTTTCAAGCTTTCCATGTCATGGAAGATTTTTCTTTCCCCCTCAAGTATAATAGACATTTTTGCTTGGTAAAATGTTCTGCATTGGCATCTATTGTCATTTAGAACCGGAAATACCTTGGTCCAGGCTCTTCTGGTTTTCATAGTTTGCATTGATAAGTCAGCTGTAATTCTGATGGGCTTTCCTTTATATGTGACTTGTTTTTCTTTTGCTGTTTTCAGTATTCTCTCTCTTTTTTTTGTACACTTAGTGTTTTTACTATGATATGTTGTGAGGAGTTTCTTCTCTGATCCTATTTGGTGTTCTATGTGCTTCCTGTGTTTGTATGGGCATGTCTTTTCTTAATTTTGGGAAATTCTCTTCTACAATCTTGTTTAAGATCTGGTCAATGCCATTAACCTGATTTTCTTCTCCTTCCTCTATACCTATGATCTGCACATTTGGCCTTTTTGTCCAATATCTTTTGCATATTCCATTATTGAGTTTTTTAATTTTTTTCATAATCTTTCCTTGAATTGTCCAATTCTTTAACTTTATCCTCCAGGGTTGATATTCTGTTTTCCATTTCATTCATTCTAGTGGTGAAGCTTTCCCCTGTTGTTTCAAGTTGGCTTATTGAGTTTTGCACTTCCTTCTTCATTTCTTCCTGAGTGTTCTTCAATGTTTCTATGCGTTTTGTGAATTCATTCAGTAGTTCATCCCTATCTTCTTTTAGTTCTTTGATTTGTTTGTTTGTGTGTTCTTTAAATTCGTTGAATTCCTTGATCATGTTTATGACTATTTTTTTTTTTTAAATTCTGTGTCCTAGGTTGTCTCCAGGGGGTTCTCCTTGCAGAACTCTTCTACAGGATTGGTGGAGTTTGGTGGGGACATAGTGTTTTGGCTTTCCATTTTATTATTCTTTTGTTGTGATTTTGGCATGTTAATTTCTTTTGTGGCTTGTGATTCTGATATAAGTTGAAGTATGCTTCTGTTTGCATTATTGGTGTGACTTGGTCCTTTCCTTATTCGTTATGTAAAGCTGGGTGGTCCAGGTTCCAGGTTCTCTCAGGTTTTATTTTGGAGGGAACTGATGGCTTCAGATCAGCTCCCAGGAGCACCCACAGAAGCCCAGTTCAGGTTCCAGTAAGGTACACTCAGGCTTCCTTCTTAAGTTTGGACCCTGACTAGCAGGAACTCAGAGCAAAATTTGGGAAGTTCCCAAGGGGTGGGGGAGGCTGATTTTGGCACTCTCAGTTGGTCTACTGAGTTTTCAGCCTCTTTGCCTGAGGGA